AGGATGGAGAGAAGGGAGAGAACAGAACTGCCAGTTCCCGCTCTCCAGTAAGACCACGTGGAAATACATAGAAATGGGTTAATAATTAAGACAGAGCTAACCGATAAGAAACAAGTAACTGGCCAACAGCATTATATCTAATACAGAGTCTCAGTGTGTTAATTGGGACTGGCCTGGCTGCAGGACATGACCAGCAGGGGGCAGAAAAACCTTACTTCTTACCTTCTTCCCTTCCTTCCTTCCTTCCTTCCTTCCTTCCTTTTTTTCCTTTTTAAAGACAGGATTGCTATGTAACTGCCCTGGTTGTCCTGGAACTTGCTTTGTACATCAGGCTGGCCTCAAACTCACAGAGATCCCCCTGCCTCTGCCTTCCTAGTGCTGGGATTAAAGGCATTCACTACCATGCCAGCAGACAGCTGGACTTCTAAATATAGAAGAGTGAAACTAGATCCGTGTTTGCCAGCTTCCTCCAAACTCAATTAAAAAAGAATAAAAGATTTTAGTGTAAAGCCTAAAACCCTGAAAGTGTTAGGGAAAATAACTAGAAAAACACTTCAAGATGTAGCTATAGGTAAGGACTTTTGAAAATGACTCCAGCACACAGGAAATAATCCCAAGAATTGACAAGTGAGATTGCAATGAATACAATTGTGCTTCTATAGAGCAAAGAAGAATTTAGAGCCCTGGTTCTAACAATGTGACCCTTTAATACAGTTTCTCATGTTGTGATTTTCAACCAGAAACTTATTTTCACTGATTACTTCATAACTGTACTTCTGCAACTGTTATGAATCATAATATAAATATCTGATATGTGACTCTCATGAAAGGGCCAGTTGACATCCAAAGGCGTCACAATCTACAGGTTTAGAAACACTGATAGAGGTGAGAGGACAGCCCCAGATTATGGGAAAATCTTTGTGAACTTTATATTTGATAGAGGATTAGTAGATAGACTATATAAAGAACCTAACTAAACACTCCCAAGCAAAGCAACCCAAGCAGTGAGTGGGTTAATAATGAGATGATGAGGTCTCAGAAGAAGTTGGTTGGCTAGTTGATGCAAAGGTAAATATTCTGAAATCATTAAGGTATTTTGGAATTGATTATATCTGTGTAAAAAGCACTGAACTATAGGAAATAGTTCAAACAACTAAAATGTGCTTTATACTTAGTGATTATAATGTCTGGGATTCAAGATTATATGTTTTAATTTTTTATGTTTGAAGTGGGTACAATTATTATTTCATTGTATACCTTTAGGAAGAATATTACTTTTTCTATTAAACTTCAGAGAAATTACTTTGGTAATTTATCATTCTGGAGGTGTTGTACACTTAACTTTAGAAATTTTTCTATTAATTTTGGATATTCTCTGGGCTCTTTGCACTCTTTCCTGTAGGAGGGTTAAGCCATGACCCTATAATTACACATCCTCCTGAACACAGAAGATAGAGGCTTATAATAATTTAGTCTTGTTTGTGAAAGGGAAGCAACATAGGTTCTTTCTATTTTCAAATTAACTTGAAAATTTATTATAAAATTATGAGACTTATTTAAGACAGTATACTAGTATTAACTTGGAGCTCATGATTTTATAAATTTGCTATTGGAAAAAAATTACTTAATATCAGATTACCTTAATATCAATTTATTTTTGAATTTTATAATCTTTGCCTTTTTGAATTATATATTGTAATTTTATATATTTTGTTATATTTTATATCCCCCTTTCTTAAACAAGAGAAATGAAAATATTCTTTTAGACTTTAAAAAAATTTGAGGGAGTTTTCTTTCTTTCTTTTTTTTTTTTTTGTTTTACAAATGTGGGTATTTATTCTGTGTCTATGAAGGTACACCATGGCCCTTTAGCACAGAAGAGGCCAGAGGAGGGTGTGGGTTCCCCCTAGGATTAGTGTTACACACAGTTGTTAGCTGCCTTGAAGGTGCTGAGAATCAGAACTGGCTCACCTGCAAAAACAGCCAGTGCTGTTAACTATTGAGCCATCTTTTAAACCCCTTCTTTTAGATTTTAAAGGATTAGTTGGAACAGAATTCAAGTTATGTGCTTATAGAAGAATTCTGTGTAATAGTTTTTTATTGTTGAGTGTTTTACTTTTTATGATATTTTTCCTTGCATATTTTAAATTTCAATTTGATTTTTTTGTTATCATCTTTTAAAATTAAATATATATTTTCTTTTCTTAGTCCATGTGTGGGTAATGTGTATGTGGTGGTATGTGTGAAAGTCCAAGGACAATTTGTAGGAGTCCTTTCTTGCTTTTCCCCTTTTGTCACTGGATTCCCAGGATCTCCCACATCATTAGCATTGGGGACAGGCATTCTTATCTGCTGCTGGCTTATTAAGCATATTTTAATGAAACACATACAAGGGATAAGTGGGTTGTAGATAAACATTATTGCTTTTTTTCTTTTATTTAATTTTATATAACATAGTCCAATTAAATGAAAACAAACATTTATACACAATATTTGGGAATTTGGGCGTCGTTCTTTCCAAACTACTTCCTGCTGGTAAGGGGCACTGTCTTGGGGGATTCGAAGAAGATTCAGATATCCTGGCTGTAGTCTGTAGGGCTGTTTTGTCCACCTGTTTTGAATGTAGGATCAGCTTGTACTCTGTTTCAGGCGGTCTGGCGTGATCAAACCACATTAGTCTGGAAGGAATCCACATCTTTTCATTTTCTGTGGAAACAAAAATAGAAATCCTTTTTCCCAGTAACTTGTTCTTGAACTTAAATTTTGGAGTCAAAGCATTTTTTTAGTTTAATATATTATTTTACATGTCGATCCCAGTTCCCTCTCCCTCCCTCCCTCCCTCCCTCCCTTTCTCCCTCCCTCCCTCCCTCCCTCCCTCCCTTTCTCCCTCCCTCCCTGGAGCCCTCCCTCCCTCCTTCCCTCCCTTTTATCCTCTCTGCCCTCTCACATGCACTCTAAAGGCCTCCCCTCCCATCCCCCCCACCCCAGAAGCACATAGAGACAGCTTACCTGAACAAGGAGGAGCTAATGGCCACTAGACTGATAGCTGGGAAGCCAGCATGGGACTGATTCAGGCCCCCCCCCCCCGATTATGGGTCTCAGCCAGAAGGACTGAGCAGTCTAAGAGACCTCAGACAGTGGAGCCAGGATGTATCCCTGGTGCACAAAAGGACTTTGCGAACATATCCCCCATGGAGGGATAACTGCCTTAATCTAGAGACAGGAGAGAAGCCCTAGTCCCTACTTCACAGGACCTGTCAGATCTACATTATTGCTTTATTTAAACTAAATAATTTATATTTTTCCTATCCAGTATGACTCAATAAAATCAAGTCCCAGAGTAATTTACTAGAACTACCACTATGAATTCACAGCAAAAGAACATCTAAGCCAATAAAATGGAGAATAAGATCACTAGTCTCAGTTTAACTTTTAATCACCTCTGCACACACATATTGTTAGATGGAGAGTTAAGTGGGCATAGCCAAGGCACTCGTGGTTGATCCTTGTGACTCCTAGATGGAGTTGGGAATGGGATAGTGGAGTAATACTGATGCTTGATGTTTTATTGGGCCTTTTCCCAACTGGTAGCCTTTTAGTTGAATCAGAGAATATAAATTTATTAGATTAAGAGAACAAACCACATAATATAATTTTAACAACTGAAATATAAAGTATGAAATTTCACTCCTGCAAAACACCAATAACCAATATCAAACATGTATATGTTTGTATATATGTATATGTGTGTATGTATACATAAATATGTATGTATGTATAGGCTGTAGTAAGGTGTTACTCAGTAAATAAAATTTGTTGAAAATTTAGGCCAATAACACATTCAAATAGGAGACAGATGGATTAGAGATTTAGATGCAAGAGATAGAGCTTTGTCATAACTCAGGGGAACATCTATTGACCCACACACTCAATAAGGCAAGACTCACAATACTGACCAAAATATACACATTTTGGTGAATTATTTTGATGAATTACTAAAATTACTGTCTTTTCATCATTATGAGAAAAAGAAACTGACAGTGTAGGAAAATACATGCACACATATGCATACATATACACACATACAACACTTATACATATACATATATACATACATAGACAACAAACCATGAAGAGATGAAAACAGATTAATATGAACACCAGTAATGAAAACATTGCCAAGGTTGAAGATAATAGTATATTCACATCTAGTAAGTATATGTAAAGAATGCAACACCCATTATTCATCACAGGATGTGAATTAAAATCACAGTGTGATGCTAGATTTTATCCACCAAGGGGGCCAAAATGAACCAAATGGGAAATAATTGCTTAGGACTTTTATTCAATAATTACAATTTGTTACAATTTTAAAGGAACTTGTCTATCTAGTACCCAAACTGAACACTTGGTATCTGCTGTTCCAGTAGCTCCATTTGTAGGAATAGGGCCCCCAACCCCAGATGCAATGCTATTTCTAGAATGTTCATGACAGAAGTATTTGTAGTAGTCAAGATATATAAAGTTCCAAATTTCTATCACATGGAAAATAGAAGAACTAATTAAATCAATATGATTAATTAATATTCTGAATGACCTATAAGTAGAAAATAGTATGGATAAATCTCTCAAATATGTTTATTCAAAAACCGTTCTTTTGTTGGGCGGTGCTATTTGCTCTTATAGGAAGGGAAATATAAAATAGAAAGTTTATATAGAAATATAAAATAGAAATGTTGCTATAGTAATTTTATTTAGCTCATCAATTCAGCAGATTACTTGTCCTCATGTTAGGGGCTTCTGTTTTTCTCATCTGTAAAATCTGCAAATCATTATTGAACAAAACTATGACTGACTGAGTTCAGCAGTTGGATTTCTTATACAGCATTTTATTTTTATTTCTTTGGAGTTTGTATAGCCAAAAGAGAAGTATAAAAGTTATCATCATTTGATAATTGTAGTCTTTCTAAATATTGATTTTGTTCTTTGATTACAGGTAGCCAGGATGGAAAGGAAAGTGAGAAGAATCTGTCTCGCTTCTGAACCCAACATAAGTTACTTTCTGCAAGTATCTTGGGAGGGAACAGTGGGATCTGGTTTTGTTATTACATTGACTGATGGCCATTCAGCCTGGACTGCGACAGGTAATCTTGACAGCAAACATGTTTCATAAATGTTAATTATGTCCTACTCTTTAGTCCTCAGGAACTTCAAGTTAGCATGTTTCTTCATGGACACTGATAACATCAATGCTCCATTTTCCATCTTATCCATTTCTAATATGTGTATAGGTCTGTAATACCTGATGCTACTTTTTGGAGTTGTCATTATGTACAGTAGCTGATTCTCTTTGCTATGACAGTCTCAACTGTTTGGACTTTGTCATAGTTTCATAACAGCCTCTTTAGAACAAACCTCAGCAGCACTTTCAAAGAGTTGCCTCTTCCAGGGCCTGAGGAAAGACTTGGGGGACAGAGGAAGTAGATTGTGGGGCCAAGAGCTGCTGGATCACAGGTGTAGAGTCCTTAAGCTTCGCTCTGACCTCATCCAGCTAATAGCATGAATTACTTCTTGAATGGATATGTACTACACTTTTAAGAAAACAAAACCAGACTGCAGCCTAACACTGTGATACATTTACGTTTTTATGGGAAATTGGAAGTTTTATCATATAGACTTTCTCTTGTGCTTTTACTGACCTTTTAAACTGTGAGTGCCTCCCAAGTCATATGTAGCATATGGCAGGGGTCCATTGTTGGTACAGTGGGCAGAATGTCAGTTTTAGATTATGGCAGGTATAAAATTAAAAAAATTAGAATTATGTTGTTTTCAAATAACAAGATTTTAATGTTTGTCTTAAGTATTAAAAAAAACAAACAACAGTCTCTAGCTACAGAACACAATTATTTCTGGAGTTATGAATGATATATTGGGTGGAAATTTATTTAAGAGTTCATTTTTGTGCTATTTAAATATGCTAACAAAATTCCCCTAAGATTTGTCACCATAATTATTATTTCTAAAATTAAAATCCATCATGAAATTCTGTTTCATTCTTTAATGGTGCAAATCCATCATAGTTTAAAGAAATTCAAAATTACAGTTTTTTTTTTCATTTGTCTTTCACACAGCAAGTGAGAAATATTTACTTTTCTTCTAGAGGAAAACAAAGGCAATTCAAGGATTAGTATGTGCAGCACTCCTTATATTAACTATCTGAGATGTAAATTTCCCTGTGGGAAATACAGATGCTGACTCCTTCTGGTAGGAAAGCAATGAAGGACATAGAGTTCTTATGCTAGCCCTATGGAGTGAGTATACCCATATGGCAGCTCTTGTTTGAAAGAGTAAAGAATATATGACTAAAATTGTGGTAGTGGCTCAGTGTGGACTTTGGTTGACTGAGTGGAGTCAGAAGACTGTATTTCTATATACATGGATACAGATACATACAGGCACACATACCTGCATATATAATAAATATGTAAGTGATAATTAGGGAAGAGAATTTTAAGTATATGAAACTAGTTAGAAAAAGAAAACAAATTGATACTTCACAGTTAGCATGTTTATAAATGAGAACTCCAGTTTTCTAATTTCTTATATTACACATTTATTGCAAATTCAGTACAGTCATCATTTTGGTATGTAATGTAATTTAGTATGATATGATTTAAATGTGATGTGAGACATCTTTCTGTATTCCCTGGTGGCATGTTAACATTTTGGCTTCCCGTCTTGACCATATTTCAAGCATGGAATTTTATAGTGAAGTCTGTAATGATTTTATTTTCAGAACTATCCATTGAAGTTTTAGATTTTATACATATTTTATGCTTTTGCTTTATCCATTTATATTTTCTTGTTTATATATTAGGGCAAATGTGTAAGCAAATAATGAAATGTATCCTTTTATTTAAAACTTCTTACATGCACATCATATGGTACCTTACAGACATTATACAATTAGAAATATTGAAACAATTACTAAATGAAACACAAAAATAGGTTCCCTTCCTATACCTCTTCCTGTGTTTTAGTTGTTCAACTTTTTGATTGATACAACCATCAATTATGGATAATTTTTCTCTTTTCATTTAAATGGAAAGGATGTGAGGTTTGTTTTAATCTCCCACACATCAAGCTTGCTGATTTCTTTCCCATTAGCAATGCTCTATCTAATGAATGTTTGGGGACCTAATTATCATGTGGCCTGTCATCAATCACTTCTGTATTACAGAGTTTTGTGTCTCAGGGTTATTTTATAAAGTGGGTTAATGATTGATGATCACTATGTGCTTTGTAAAATAATTGCTTTGACAGCAAGAAACTTCTATCACCTATTTGTGGGGTGTGTCTTTAAGTTTATTGGATATTGATTCAAGCCTTATTAATGGTTTACTATTGAATATTTAGATTTCTGTATAAGTTTTCTAAACACGTATTTTGTGAACTATGTGGAAATAACATTACAGAATTCATAGGAAAGGCTTTGTGTAAGTAGGTCTCCGATATGAGGCCACCCATATTCCTAATTGCATCATGTTGGTGTCTTCAGCTCTCCAACATGGATTAGGATGAGTCTGTGCATTCTTCACTTACACTCAGGAACATTCTTTCAGTCTTTACCTATGTACAAATATTATAAAAATAATGTTTTTAGAGTTTCTGTTAGTCTGAGATTAGTCCCTCATTTTTATGGTCTTGTTTGTTTTCTCACCTTTTAAAGAAGTCACTAAGCTTAATTTTTATTGTTACCATGTTTTCATGTAAGCCATTCAAGTTTAGAGCTATGAATGCATATAACTGTGCTATCGATCTTAGCAAAAAACAAAACAAACAAACAAACAAAAAAAAAAAAAACAAAAAAAAGCTGGCAAATAGTTATTTTTCTAAGCTTGATAATAGACAATGCAAACTTCATGTTCTCTTTAAATAGGAAATATTTGGTCAAGCATTGAAAAAAACATTTCCTTTTTGCATATTTTTTTAAATGAAAAGCTGTCTTTTAATGACCAGAAAAAGCAACTGAAAGAAAAAGTAAAAATGAATGTTCAAGAAGAAAGCTTTGAATGGAGATATTAGAATATAAAGCTTACAAGAAGTAATATTGACACCCCTCAAATTTACAAAATCAATGAAAATCAGAAGTATTTGAATACTAATGCATTTCCTCAAAAGCCTGGACCAAAGTGTATGTCCTAGACTTTTTTTTTTTTTATTTTACATATCGACCCCTCCCTCCCATACCCCTGAATCCCCTCCCTCCCATACCCCTGGACCACCTCCCATCCCATTCCTGCCCCTCCCCCCACTCCACAGGGAGGGTGATGCCTTCCAGGAGGGATCAACAAAATCTGTCAAGTCATTTGGAGTAGGGTCTAGGCCCCCCCTCCTGCTGCTAGGTTAAGGGAATATCCCTCCATGGGGAATGAATGGGTTTCCAAAGTCCTTTCATGCATCAGGGATACATCCTGGTTCCACTGTCAGAGTCCTGTAGACTGCCCAGGCCTTCTAACTGAGACCCATGTTCAGGGAGTCTGAGTCAGTCCATTGCTGGTTTTCCAGCTATCAGTCTGGGGACCCATTAGCTCCCCCTGGTTCAGGTCAGCTGTCTCTGTGGGTTTCCGTAGCCTGGTCTTGTCCCCATTTTCTTATCACTCTTCCCTCTCTGCATCTGGTTAATATTGGCCAACTGCTCTTGGGAATGATGCCTATTTTTATCATCTATTTATTTGCCTGTTTATTTATTCTTTTGAACACATTCCAACCATAGTTTCCCCTCGCTCCATTCTTCCTCCCACCCATCCCCAAATCTACTCCTCCTCCATTTCCCTTTAGAAAAGAGGAGGCCTCCCAGGTATATCCATCCAACAACACATAAAAAGATGCAATGCAACTAGACACAAGCCCTCATAGCAAGGCTGGGAGAGACAACACTAGTAAGAAGAAGGTCCCAAGAGTCAGAGATAATCCCTACATCCACTGTTAGGAGTCCCACAAAAACACAAAGCTAACACCCATAACTTGTATGCAGAGGATGTGCTACAGACCCATCCAGTCTATGTCATTGCTTCGTCAGTCTCTGAATTCCTATGAGCCCTACTCAGTTAAGGTTCATGGGCTGTGTTGTGTTACCATGGTGTCTTCAACCTTTCTACAAAATTCCCTAAGCTACAAGGACAGGGACAAAATGGAGAGTTTAAATTTTGGCTTTTTTTTCCATCCAGTATTTGATTATGGGTCTCTGCATCGCTTCCCATCAGCTGTTGGCTGGAGCCTCTCTGATGATTATTGGGCTAGGTATCATCTGTGAGCACAGCAGAATATCATTAGGAATCATTTCATTGGCTTTTGGCTAGATGAAACTCCTATGGTCACATTAGTAAAGAAAACTGACTTCCAGAAGCTATCATAAGCAATTAATCTTCAACAACGGGTGGGATTATATACTCATCTCTCCCCACCCCAGTGTTTACATAAATTTGAAAGAAGTGTAAAGAGAAGAATGATGTCCTGCCTTTCTTTTTTCTCTTAAGAGTTGTTTTTCCTGTTATGTATAGAATTCCCAGGAGGTGAAACAGGAAATTATTAGATGAGATTGGAAGGCAATTTCATGCTCCACACAGCATTTTTTGCATATTTAATATTTGTGTTCATTTATAGAATAATCTTTTACATGGTATTTGTTCCTTAAGTAATTTTAATATATGAGTTGAATTAATAAAATATATATTTGAATACAGATATACTTTCTTTTTAATGAAATTTAGCATACTTTTATGTTTTCTAATTTTTTATTGGCACATTTGACTTGTACCAAAATCTTTATCATGACATTTCCATAAACATGAAATATATGATCCTATGTACCTTCATTTTATTATTTTTTCCCCTAGCTGATGTTTCTGTTCTCCCTTTTCAAACATTTTTTTTTAATCTAGAGAGAAAATATGCAGTTTTCCTTGTTTTTTGGAGTTTGGCTTATTTATCGCAATTGTTTGCTTTCTTTTATTCATGTACTCTATTGTTTATATTTACCATATTCCATTTATCTACTCATTCATTGATAGGCAGTCTGACCAAGCTGTTTCTTTTGGCTATTATGAATTATAACTACTGGATATGAAGATATCCCATCCCT